CTGAGCAGATCATCAAGTCCGACCCTCTGCCATGGCATCAAGGAGAAATACACATCCTTGACTTAACTACAGGGACTGCATTTAGCAGCACATACCTTCTACCGGGCTGGACCTAACGTCCTGACAGGATATAGCCCATGACAGGTGAGCTTGGCATTTTGCTATGAATGAAGCACAAAGAGCAACAGAACATCATTGTGCCACCTTGGCCAACAGTAGGAGGGAATGTAGACACCAACTTGCCCTGGAATGTCTTCTGAACCCCACATGCGGAAACTGATGTCCAGTATCAGTAGTGCTCATACTCAAAAACAAGTCATGCAGCTTCCATTGGGTAGAACTATGACAGGTAGTTCAGAAATGCTTTCAATTTCTCACTCTGTGAGAATTTCTTTAGTTATTTTCAGTTTATTTTCATCCTAGATTCACACCTGATTGGGAGCCTGGTCTTTGATCATTTACCCTGCTCTAGGTGTCTTCTCCACAAAACACAGGGAACTGGCATTAAGCAATTTCAGCATTTTGTGCATATTGTATAGTGAGTGAACTGCTTCCTGCCCATGAGTAACATTGCAAGGAGCATCTCTGTGTGGGTGTCTTCTTTAGAGTCCTTCCATGAGCTGATAGGAAATGGCATCTCTTTCAATGATGGATTCTCATTCTGTGCCCTCCATATTCCTGCCAGTAAGCCTGCCCACAGATAATTCGGGTCTAGCTGTCAATAACTTTACCTGACAGGTCAAGATTTGCCTTCCAAGATTTGAGAGCATTACCTTCTCCTAATTTTACAGAGCTGAAAGAGCAAGTACTGGGAATTAATTGGCAGGGTAAATATCAGACTGGGGATTTTTACTCTCAGGGCCCTGTTGTCAACAGAGAGTAGTGGGGTTGCAGTAGACACCTGAAGAGGAAATTTCAAACTTGACTATTCCACTTATTACTTCTCTTTATGATTTTTATGAACTATTGTCTTTTGGAAACAAAGATCCACTCTTTTTTCTTCTTATTTCTGGTATCTGTGGTTATCCAGTTTATGCCAAACCATGTGAAATGAATTATACACTGGAAGGTGAGAGAACAGCAGTACAGCAAAGGAAAGCTCCCATCAGAAAATACCTGTAAGAACTGGGTACGGAATTTACAATATGCTCTTTGCAATTTCTTTTCTACATTGTGGCCCTTGCATTGCATACTAGGTCAATTAAGAATACAATGGCTTCCTTATGTACAAGACTCCTTCATAGTCCTTCATGGGTCCCAGCACTTTGGTTTGAGGCAGTCATGCCTGCAAGTGTAATACACAAAAAAGATAATGTACCAATTGTGTTACACCCTCTGCAGAACAGTACATCAGTCTTCAGCCACCAAGTGTCCTGCCTGGCCAAGCAGGGTGACTTGATGTCCAAGGTAGTAGTGATGGATGCGGACATGAAGCAGAATGCCTCGCTCTCCTACCATCTACTCAAGACAACAGTTGCAGGTCTCTCACCATGAGGCTCCAGACAGGCTAAGTTAGGATCCAAAGGCCAATAACAGATGAGGAATAGATGAAGCAGTGGCTTGTTGTGATTATTACAGAGATAGGAGAGGAACACCATTCATCCTTCTCAACTTTTCAATATACTTCCAGTGGATGGGTATAATGTAAAGCCAAAGGCTCCTCTTACTTTAAGGGTGAAGGAGCAGCAGGGAGAGCCTCAGGCTAACTGAAGAAGCTACACTCCTGTAGCACACTGGGCTAGGGTCATGGAAGTATATAAACACAGGCCCTGATACAGGAGGGGTAGTCTGGCCCTGGAGGCTGCAGAAGCATTGGGCACCAAATCAGGAAGATGCCGGAGAGCTCCTAGGTGACACCTGTCTGGAGAAAGGCAAACAGACTGCTTCCTTGCACAGGAATATGGACTGGGGTAAAGGGAACCCTGGTTGTGCAGGCAGATAGTCATTGTTTATGTTCAGGCAAAGCAGGGATTTAGTTTGTGTTGCAGCCAGAAGGTTGGAGGTTGAGAAGACCAAGACCCTAACAAGGGTGAAAGCCTGAGGTGGCCTGATATCAGATTGGAGCTAAGTGCCCATCACATTTTTAAGGGATAACACTTGCAAGGTATGGTCATGAGTGTAGGGATTGTTAGAGGCCATGATTAGCACTTAAGGCTAGCTTGTGCCCTGTGGAAGAGCAATGGTGGCCCACTAAGGTCCATGTAGTGAGGGTAAGATGGTAGCTTGTGCCCTGGAGAAGAGCAATGGTGTGCCACCAGGGCCCATGTAGTGATGGCAAGATGGAGAACAGCAGAAGTTTGGAAGAGCTAGCTGACATCTAGAGGTACTGGGGTTCACTCTAGGACCCATCAGGCAGCCTCCCTTCCAATCAAACAATTAGATCAAAGTGTGGCAGCTGAGTAAGAAGTGGAGGGCACTCTAGAGCTGGAGCAGGGCAAGGGTTGAGCTCCAGGGGGCATCACAGTCACTCCCAGAGCCCCAACATGGTTACAACTGGGTTTTCATATGTCAATGTGCAGTTTGTTTCTTCACGGAAGGGACAGGAGGAAGAATAGCATAATACATCAAATATGGCTATAGAAGTGTCTTTGTCTCTAATTGAATCACTTTGTATGACTTACTGCTTTTAATCATTAGTTGTAAGGACTGAAGTGGTCCTGAATTTCCTGTTTTAATAACAGAAAAATCTCAACAGGTTGGAATGGTGGGAGAGAGTCAACAGGAAAGGTCAATACCAAAAAATGCGAAGTGCATTTGGGATGATTTATAAAAAATAGAAATACAAACTTGAGGTGGCCTGATATCAGATCAGACCTCAGTGTCCACCCACATTTTTAAGGGATGACACCTGCAAGGCATCGGCATGAGTGCAGAGAAGGTTGGATTCATCAATAGAAGCATTAGGTGCAAACATGGGACATGTTAGTGCCTCTCCTCTGGGCCCTGGTTAGGTGTCATCTAAAGTACTTTGTGGAGTTTTGGACTGCAGATTTTAAAAAGGATGTGGAGAATTTAGATAGGGTCCAAAGGTGAGTGTCCCAGGGGTGCCAGGGTTGCAGGAGAACCCCAACACAAAATAGAAGGCAGCCCCAACTTACCATCTGCAAGGGCCGAAAGGAGTGAGAAACCGCCCACGTGGGGCGTCAGTCGCGTTCATATTCAGCTGGGGCCGGGTGACGTCGGCTGGAGACACCACCCGGCGGAAACAAAAGGGGGCCCCTGA